CATGAGCAACTATTCGCGCGCTATCCCGATGTGCTGGCCTTTTTGGTGTGTTTGGTTTATGCCGCCGCATTGGGGATCGGCGTGAAGGCCACAGCCGTTTTTAACGGCTTGCTGACGCTGGTGAATATTGCTGTTATGATTTTGGTAATTAGTCTGGGCTTTTGGTATGCGGACGCAAGGAATTGGTCTGAGGCAGAAGGCGGTTTCCTGCCTTACGGATTTGGTGGTGTTATTGCCGGTGCCGCCACTTGTTTCTACGCTTTTGTCGGCTTCGATTCCATTGCCACTTCGTCGGAGGAGGCAAAGAACCCTGCTATTTCCATACCGATAGCTACGCTACTCTCGCTCAGCGCTGTTACAGTGGGCTACATATTGGTCTCGGCTGCGCTTACGCTAATGATACCGATACGCGATATAAACCCAGCTGCTTCGTTGCCAGAGGCTTTCGGACAGATGGATCTTTCGTGGGCGAAATATGTGATCTCGATTGGCGCGCTTTGCGGCATGACAACCACACTCTTGGGTTCATTGTTTGCTCTACCGCGCTGCATGTACGCCATGGCATCGGATGGGCTGCTCTTCAGTTGCTTTGGCCGCATCAACGCCACAACGCAGGTGCCAGTTCTAAATCTTATTATTTCTGGCTTTCTAAGCGCCACACTCGCGCTACTCTTCGATTTGGAGAAGCTCGTCGAATTCATGTCGATTGGCACGCTGCTCGCCTATACCATTGTCTCCGCCAGCGTTATTATACTACGCTATCGACCGCTGGTTAGCCAAGAGAATGCCATCTACGCGCCCGACACACCCGACGAAGATGAGGACGACAATACTTCGCAATTGAGCATCGACACCGCTTCGCCCACCAGCGACTTGATCGAGGGCGCACTTGCCGGTCGGCTGAAGCAGCAATTTCGTTGGCTCGAACCGCTCTTGGGACGCTTTGAACCCGGCTCGGCCGTGTCGGCGGCGGTGCTACTCTTCTCAGTGCTCAGCTTTGCCATTTGCTTTCAACTTGAAGTATCCTGGACGGAGCTGTACACGGGTACATGGTGGGCGCTACTGCTGTACGGCTTTATGATCTTCATTGCGGGCGCCTGTGTTGCTGTCATTGGGGTGCATCACCAGAATACACGTGGTCTCAACTTCAAAGTGCCGCTCGTCCCATTCGTGCCGGCGCTAAGCATCTTCTGTAACATTGTGCTGATGGTGCACTTGAGTGCGCTCACCTGGCTGCGTTTCTTTATTTGGGTCGCACTAGGCATGCTAATCTATTTCCTGTACGGCATACATCACAGCAAGGAGGGTGAGGTTTGCTCATCCTATTCGATGTTAATGACCTCAACAGAGGCAGGCAAGTCACACTGGGGCGCCACAGGCGGTGGATTTACAATTAGTTTGGGCAGTGGTGGTGGGCGAGCGGATGTGATTAAGAAAACAGTATTTCAGCGTTTTATTGGCAGGAAAATGGACGATAAAAAGCCGATTGTGGAGGAGGACGTGGATGAATTGGACGAAGAGGGACAGACTTAAGTTGATCGGAACAGAGCGTGCTTTCATTTCGTGTACCTTTTAGAATGGCCTTTAAACTCTGAACTGATTTCATTTTGTTGCATTTACTAGCGACCACAAGAATTTGAGTTTTTGGTGTTTTTATTTTTCGGCGAAAAATAATTTCATGAACTTTCGGTGCGCTCAGTGCAGCTGCACTGGATTTTTTTTTTGTTTTACAAAATTTATTGCTGCATCCACTGCCTTTGGATCACAAATTTATTAAATTTCAAAAATATATGTACATACATACATATATAAATACAGCTTTCTTGGCTGTTTTCATCATTTTCGCCGTATGATTACTCACACCACTGGGAGCGCCCAAGTGCGAATTGTGTTCTTGAGAGTGGCGCATGAGTAATCTTTCCATGACGTATCGGGCACAACACAGGTTCGAGCTTGTTTAGTTTATTGGCTTTGCTGGCGCTTATATTCAATGCCCGCACGAAAGTCCAGAGTAGGAACCACATACACACATACATACAAGTCTCGACATTATTTGTATGAAGTTTTGCATTTATTTATTTATATCAATTGTCTTTGTGGTTTTCGCAGCAGTTTGATGATGTAATAATTTAAAAAGAGAAAAGTGATTTAAAAGTATAATTCTAATATTCTAGTGACCAGCCAATTAGAATTTTATGCATTATTATTTACAAAATGATTAACCAGGCTATGTACTATTTTTGCTTTGGTGTTTTTAGTAAAACTTTTTGGTGTGGATATAATCGTAAAAATTTAAAGGTAAAAATAAAACAATCCAAACCAATCCAAAAGTTGAAGCAAATTATAAACTAACCTTCGTTTAGCAACAATATTTTCGGTATTTTGAAGTTTAGGTTTTCCGTTTTATTTCAAT